CCGCCTCCTCCTCCTCTTCTTCTCTCCTTCCCCGGGCCGTGACGCCCCTCCGCCCCGCTACCGGAGGGGCAGGGGCTTGGGAGACGCCCCCCGGGGCCGGCCCAGCCCAACCCCGAAGGTTGGCCGGGCCCCCTCCTTCTTGAGGCGGGCCGGGTCCCCCCCCCGCTTCCTGAGGCAGGCCGGCCCCGGTGTGGCAGTGCCAGCTCCGGCCACAGCTCCCGTGGCTCTGTCCCTGCCCCTCTGCCCCGGAGCCCGCTTCCCCTTGGCCTGAGGGATTGGGGGGGCGGCTTCTGGGCAGCGGCCGGGGGCGGGGGGAGCCGGGCCGATTGACCTGGGTCTCCTGGGGGGTGGCCCAGAGCCTGTTTGGTGACACTTGGTGGCCGAGGTCGGTGCTTTCTTGGGCCTCCTGGGGGGTGGCCCAGAGCCTGTTTGGTGACACTTGGTGGCCGAGGTCGGTGCTTTCTTCCTAGAGCTTCCCTCTTGGTTTTTTGGCTCCATGAGGAGACATTCGGACCCCACCTGGACACCTTCCTGTGGGACCTGCTCTGGGTGACCCTGCTCTGGCAGGGGGTTGGAGTAGATGATCTCCAAGAGGTCCCTTCCGACCTCATATCATTCCGTGTCCCTCCCCTCCCTGCTCCCGTCTGCTCCGTGGCACTTTGGGGTGGCTTTTGGAAGCGCTGGGAGCCCAAAAAGTTTCTTTATATGCTGGGGGGGTGGAGGGGGAGCTTCCAGGGAGGAATGTGCTGAGCCCTGCCCTGCCACCGGCCCCGCCTTGCCCAACACCGAGGATTAGCCCAGATTAGCGTCTCCCTGCCTTCTGTAATCGGGGTTTATCATAAGCATTTAGGAGAACAGCCTGGCTATAGGCTCTTTTTTTGGGGGGGGCTGCAAAAGGAGAGTGTCAGAGGGATGTGAAGGGAAGGGGCAGTACAGAAATTTTTCGTTGGATGCCGGGATGTGGAGGCTGCAGGACAACTTTTGGTTTAACCATTGTTTCAAGGCTGAGAGGCTTTTTTTTTTGAGTTCTTAGGGTGGCTGCTTGTCACATGGGTGACCTTGGACAAGTCTTTTCTGTTCTGCCCAAGTTTCACAGAATGATACGGAGTTGGAAGGAACCTCTGGACATCATCTAGTCCAAACCCCCTGCCAGAGCAGGTCCAACCTAGAGCAGGTTGCACAGGAACGTGTCCAGGCAGGGTTTGGAATGTCTCCAGAGAAGGAGACCTTTCACCTTTGGCAATTGGCAACTGGCTGTGCCGTGCTGGGAGTCCAGGAACTCTTCAAAGAGGAATGGTTGGGAGAGGAGGAGGATTGGGAAAGTCAGGAGGAGGGGATTTCTGATTGACAGTGTTTGGGTGGCGCAAGAGAGAGAGTGAAGGCCTGACTAGAGCGATACCGGGGATCATTATCCTTATCAACAACAACCACAGTTCTTCTAGGATGTACTCTAAAGCCAGGAGTATTTCAAGTTTGCATATTTGAGTGAGGAATTTGTGCCTCTGCCAGCATTATTTGCCTGGTCCTTCAGGATTTGAGAAACATACGTGGTTTTTTTTCTTATTTTACCCCGTTCAGCTGGGTGCTCTCCAGTTCCCAGTGGTGGGGAGCGCTCTGACCTGCTGGGTTTTGCTCTTGTGGGTGGTTGTTGCCTTTTAAGGACACTTTGCAGGAAACCATGGCCAGGGGGAGGTGGTGGAGAAACACTGCTTCTGTCCTGGGGCTCCTGTGGGGGCTGAGGCTCGTTAATACGTTAGATCTATAATCGGATGTCTATAGGAGAAGGAGGAGGAATTGTCATGATTAATTAATTAGAGGTCCTGAGAAAAGCATGAGCTTTCTGAGAAGTCTTAGATGCTATTTTGGGAGATGACAGCAGGTGGCAATATCTCCCTAAAAATTCTCATGTGGAAGAGTCTGATGCTTGTGATTTTTATTTTTTTTTTTTCTCAGGCAGCCACAAGAGGTAGCTAAAGAAGGATTTTTCCTGCTTTAAGGATCGTGTGTCCCGTCCTGGATACAGACAAGCACAGTGTATAGAAAGACCGCTTTTTTAAAATAGGGTGGGGTTTTTTGCCTTCCAAACTCTGAGCCCACTGGAGGAGATGCTGGAGCTGGGGTGATAGGAGGTGCTTAAGAGATGGTGGGATCTTGGCTTCTTACCCATTTCTTTTGGGCCTTCCCAAATCTGGTGGCATTGCTGCTGCTTTGCCTTGAGTACCAGGGACACGATGTACCTGTTCTACACCTATGAGCCACCACTTCTACAGGGGTTTTTATTGATACTGAGCTACTCTAAATGGTGCCTTTTTTGCTTTCCTATGTCTGGGTGAGTCATCACGGGCAAGACACTTTAACTTCACATTCTGTCCTGACTTAAGCTTGTGAAAAGAGACCAGTAACGCTGACTTTCTGATGCAAAATGCTCTTTGGGCAAGAAAAGCTGGACGATTGATCAATATTGTTCTGCACATATATTTTTTTTTTGTGGCTTGTCTTTGTTAGCGTGTTAAATCCCAATTGTGCTGTCAGTCCAGCACAGAGGGGTAAGGAGTGGGGGCTTGTACCATTCACCTGGCCAGGTCTCTGATGGTTGTGCTCTTCACTGCTCCCTTACCAGCTCATTTATTAGAGGAAAAAGGTCTCTTGGCCATTGTCTAATCGTGTTTGCAGGGGACTTGTCCTCTCAGAAGCCAAGAAGCAGCAAGTTCTGCTTGTACAGCCCCCTCCCATAAC